CCTTTCCCCAGGGACCTTCTGGTTCTCTCCAAAAGCCTTTTCTGCCTGGAACTACCTGCCGGCCCATCTCTAAGCTGCTACTCCAGTGCCGACATTAACACTTTTTTTTTCTTAGCAAGCTCTTCCCTTGGTGCCATCTCCTCCCTCATTCCCTTAACCTCCCCAGACTTTCACTTAGCACAACACCGGACTCCCCACCTGCCCAATGGTTCCTGGGAGTACAATGAACCTAAAAGATGGTAGGTATGGGGAAGGGAACCCCAAGTCCAGGGGGCGGAGGAAGCTACATTATATTGAGCTTTCATTATATGCCAGGCACTGTATAGGACACTTTACATACAGTAACTCATAAAATGTGATATTTCCCCATTGTACAGATGAAGAAACTGAGGCAGGTTCAAAGATTAATTTGCCCTGGTCAGTTAGGGAGTATGAGCCAAAAGGTGTGTGTATCTGGGTGTATAGTCCTGATGCTGGGTGAGTTAAGGGTGTCCTCTTGAAGAATGATGGGGTTGTCGCACACACCCCCCTCCAGCTCAGAGCACTGTGTCCTCATCAGCTTCTCCCAAACCAGAGGCTTTTAACTGTGAGACAGGGCAAGGGTGATGTGGTGAAATGCAGAAATCCTGCAACAGAGATCAAACTCGAGAAAAACGGAGACAGAACTAGGGAAGGAAGCCTGACTGACAGAGGGGAACGCTTGCTCTCCACCCCACCCAGCCTGAGGAGCCCAGCCCAGAGGGGTGGAGTGCAGGTGCCAAGAGCCCCCACCACACCTGGGAACCCCAAGAGGCCCTGGACTTCTCTCCCCGGCCTGCCCAAGGGCTCATTTCGTCAGTGCCAGGTTTAGGGCACGTTTGATGCCAGGCAACTCTCACTCCCTGTCCTAGGAGGCCGAGACCCAGGCCTCCCAGCCCTCTCCCACTTCAGGGGCGGGACTTCCTGTTTCTGAGGCTGCTTCTTTGCCTGGTTCAGCACAACAGAGCTGGTAGCTTTCCACTGGGCTCAGCAGTGTCTAGACCTGGTGTGGGCTAGCAGGGAAGTGTGTACGTTCTGCTGGGGAGGAGAATCCCCAAGAATCTAAAACCAGGACAGAAGTTAGCTCTCACAGAAGCTGTGCTCCCTGTCCATCCCTGGAGTGCTGATCTTGTCTTCTTGAGTGGTGGGTGGTAGGAGGGTGCAGCTGCTTTTTTACAGAAGAAAAGGGTCCTGACAGAACCTGACGTCAGCCACCCTCCTCCCTCTGCCCCGGGAAAGCAGGAGACAGGTTAAAAACAGAAGCGCGACCGTTTCTTTATTAAATTATACAAAAAGGGGAGGGGAGGGGAGGAGGGCAGCTGTGGGGCTCGGCCCCAACCCTGGCCCCACCCCGGCCTGGCGCTGTCTGAGAGAAGGGGATCTGAGGGAGACTCAAGGATCAGGCAGGGTAGGGACGGGCAGGACATGAGGCTGGGATGCAGAGGTGAGGGAGGAGAGGCTACCCGAGGAGGGGTGGGGAAGGGAAGAGGAGAGCAAAGACAGGGAGAGGAGCAATTGGGGACCAGCTGGGGAGCTCAGATGGAGCAGGTCGGGAGGTGGAACAATGGCAGAGTGAGGATGGAAGGGGCAGTGTCTGGAGAGGCGGACATGAGAAGGCTGGGGACAAAGAGGGTGGCAGTTCTGGTGCAGGGCCCAGAGCAAGGAACCGGGTGAAGAGTGGCTGCACTCGTCTGTTCCCACCCCCACCTCCAGGCCCCGCGGGGCCTCCCACCCCCAGCCCATTGGCAGGGGGGCTCATGCCGACGCCCCATTTTCTGTCTTCTGCCGCTTGGGATCCGCTTCATCCTGTGGAGGGAGAGTTGGGGTAGCTGCAAAATGGGAGAGGGACCTCCCCCTGTCCCTGCCCTGCTCCAGCCCCCGCCCGGGCACCACAGGCATCCAGGTCCAAGTCCAAAGGGCTCCCAGCCCCTGCTGCAGCCCTGACAGCCCCTCAGGCCCCACAACCCAGCCCAAACCTCCTCTTCAGCAGCTCTCTTCAGCGCGGGCCCTTCGTCGTCATCTTCTTCTTCTTCCTCATCTGAGGAGCCAGAAACGGGTCATTGGGGAAGGGCAGGAAGCTCTGGCACAGACCCCCTGTGGTCGCCCTCAGCCCTGCTTCAGGTCTTCAAGCCCACCCTGACTCTGTTCCTTTGAGCCCAGCCTCCCCTGCCCCTCCCCACCTTCTTCTTCCCCCTCATCCTCCTCCTCTCCGTCCTCAGCAGTTTCTTCTTCTTCCTCCTCAGCTCCGTTCTCCTCCTCCTGCGGGGGACCAGGAGGGAGAGCAGTGTCAGGCTGGCCAGGCTGGCGGTGTGCCTCTACCACCACCAATGGCAGGGGTGTTGAGGGCCCAAAGGGTGGGGCGCGGAGGATGGGAGGGGCCAAAGCAAACGCAGGACCCAGCCCCCCCAAGGTAACTGGAGGGGGGATCTGAGTCTCCACCTGACCCCTGCGCACCTCCACCACTTCTTTCTTTCGCTCTTTCCGGCTTGCCTTCTCCTCCACCTTCTCTTTCTTCTCCTTCAGGTCCTGCAAGAGAGAAAGAGGTCACCTTCCTCTCACCACAAATGAACTGCAGCCGGTCCCTCTCGCCCCGTTCTCCCTCTGCAGTGAGCTTTAGAGGAGTGTAAAAACGGAGGAGTTGGCCACAACAGCTCAGAGGCAGAACAGAGGTCCCCGGGTCCCTACGGCCACAAAGGGGTTAAGACCAGACACCTTCCCCAAGACTCAAGGGAGGAGAGAAAAGTGATGAAGATAGAGGAATGGACAGCCAAGGTAACTGCTCATGACCCCCATCAAGTTCTCCAAAACCTCCTTGGCTGAAGAGTTCAGCTCAGCAAAGCAAATCCCCTCCATCTGCTGGCAGCCCTGATGCCCCACCCCCTCTTGAGGTCCCTCCGCCTTCCTGGCCTGCCCCCTCCGACAGCCTGCCCTGCTCTGCCTTTTGTCTACCTCTGGGGCCTTTTCCTGAGTATTCCCTCTCCTGGGCATCCCTCCCGGCTTCCCCTCTCAGCCTTGAATGCCTTTGTTTGTCTGTGTGTCCCCCAACTCCTCAGGCTCCTACTTGGCCAAACACGACAGGAATAGGGAGAGCACCCCAGCCTGATGCACACCTACTCCAAACCAGTTCCGAGTAGTTTCCTCCTCCCTAAGCCCAGCCCCTGGTGCAGGCAGTGGTGTGGAAGGGTAGAAGTCACCATTTCCAGGGGCAACATAGGTAAAGTACGATAAAGGAAACATGGAAGGGAGAGGGTATCGGACATGGCAGATGGAGAGAAAGACAAACAAGGTCTGGGGTGGGATGGGAATGTAGTAGGGGAAGGTACCTGCCTAGAGTGCCCTCCCTCCACTGCCCCCCTCTCTCTCCTTCACCCCAGGAGCCCACCCAGCAGGCACACCTTTGATGTCTTATTCTGATGTGGCAGACAGGAGTTGTGCATGGGTCCCTTCTCTCTGGACATCACACTGGCCCTTCCAATTTAGATTCCAGTCCTCTTTCCACACCCCCCCCACCCCCACCCCAACCGCCCTTGGCAGGCACTGTTCAACTGTGGATGTCCCTGTGCCATCTGATGTGGTGCTGGTGTGCAACTCTGTGTATCTGATTCCATGTGGATGGAAGTTTTCTGTGTGAGTGGCTCTCCCGGGAGGGTGTGTCCTTTCTGGAACAGGATCAGGAATAGGAGTAGAGGTTGGTGCAGAATGGTTGACCTGGAGGGACACTCAATTCCCTTTTCCCTTTAAGAGGAACACAGAACACTGGACCCTCTCACTCCAGCTAGGTTTCTTCATGCCACTTCCCTGCCCTCATTTCGTTGCCACATGGTGGGGATGGCATTTCTACTACCTGGTGGGCTCTCCTCTACATCCTGGGCCTAGAGAGCCAGGGGCTAGTCAGCTTCTCTCTGGGGGCCCCAGCACCAGGTCTGTGCTGCCCTGGCCTGAGTTTCCCATCTGGCCTGATAGAGAGGGAGGGAGGGAGGGAGGGAGAACGTCAGGGAGGGAGGGAGACTACCAGAGACCAAAGTCCAAGGGGCCGGGCCCTCTCCTCCCCTGTCCTGTCCTTCTGGTCACTGTCCTTCCCTGATCCCTTTTCCAGGAGGGTGTGTGACCTAGGTCTTGTGCTAAGCAGCTCCCTGGCCTCATTAACTCAACACAGGCACACACACTGACACAGGCTGACACCGATTCACACACACAGCTACAGAGGAGCGCCCACGAGATCCGGAGACACATGGCCCGGTGTTTGGGCATCCTGGCACACACTCTTGAGACAGCACGAGAGCACAGCAAAACCATTCGGCACTCACAAAGCAGCAACATGGCTCCAGAACATCTACGTCTCCACATGCACACATGTAACTGACACGGGCAGTCCCACACACTCGCTGGATTACAGACATACAAAGACACCTACTCAGTGAAGTCACATGCCACCGCACAGCCCACCGGAGGGCCGCTAGGCACACCTTATCAGCTCTCACACATAGCCCCTCTCAGCCACTGCCTTTAATCCCACTGGTTGCCCTCTTTCACTTCTGGGGCCTCTAGGAGACCTCTGTGACCTCCTCAACAACCAACCCTACCCCCTCCCCCGAAGTCGGGCTCCCAGCCCCCAAGCGCTGGCCGAATTAATTTCCCAAAGCGACACTCAGCAGGTTCCCTAGGGAAATTAGAGGAAGGCTGGAAGAGAGGCAAGGGCAAAGGGATGGGGCCAGGGAAGGGAGCTGATGAGAGCAAGGACGGCTCGATGCAATGCCATGTAACGCTGAGCTTCAGCTTTCTCGAAGGCTATTCCCGCCCCGCTTCTGATTTTTAGGAATCCAAGACTCTTTAAGCGTGAAGGGGGCGGGGGGTGAGGGGAGAGGCTGGAGGGGGCTCTGGAGAGAAAAGAAAGCTGAAGGCCAGTGGGGGAAGAAATGGATATAGATGGAAGGGAAGGAAAGGAGAGAAGGAGAAAACAGACACAGGCAATAGCTGTCCGAGCACAGAAGCAAGAGG